ATATTTTTTAAAATCTTTAAAAATAAAAGTAAAATCCCAGGTAAAAATCACTCAATGTTTTCCTCTGTTCCTCTTGACCGACGGACTCTTAATTTATGCTCTCTCAGCAAATAAGTCTACATACCCTTTATTGCTAGAAATTATTGATGTAAAAATCGTTTCTGCCGTAACAAGAACTCGATAGAATCAGAAATATTTAGCTTTTTTAACTTTCGGTTTGTGCGCAAATGGTTCAGCCAATAATTCATGGATGGATGAAACTTATTTTAAAATCTGTCGCTCTTTCCTCCGAGCCTTGTCCAAACGGCATGGTATGCAAATGTTTTCACATAAAAATTATACTTGTTTCCATTATAATTGACAGCTAACATATTTCCTCTTGCCTCTTTTAATTGGCTAATTATACTTAATTTATGAACGTTTTTGCAATATGTTAAGACTGGTTGAAATTCTCGGAGAGGAGCACATAAACAATAGAAAAGTGCATTTTAAACAGAACAAAGAAAGAGTTAAAAAGCATCTTGTTTTAGACGTCATCTAGCAAGAATGTATTCGGTGGATGTGAATGGATGTTTCATTTAATTTTTGAACAAGAATAAATCTTTCTTGCTTCCCCCTCCAGGCAATGTCATCGCTATTTCAAAAAGGGCCAAAACCTCCAATCATGTCGAGTGGACAAAGGATTTGTGTGGGACCTGCAGGTTAATTATGAGCTGGGATCGCTCTCGTGAGAACAGAACGTATCAAAATCCGTTATGTTCAACGAGTCCGGCTTAAATGGTCTTGGAAGTTGCAACTAAACCCGGCCAGAAAATTATCGACAGAACTTTACCAGAAAACCTCTGCAGGTTATTTGTAACGAACCTGTTCCTGAGCGTTGCCTCTCTCCTCCAACTGGGTATAGTTGCGGGAGAACTCTCAACTGAACTTTCAAATGCACCGTTCCGATTTGTGTTTAACCGGTATTTAATTAAAGCTCGATCGATTCTCTGGACGAAACGATATACATGGGAAGTGAAAACTGGAAATCATTCCTTCAACAAGTTCTAGCTTCAATTGAAATGGGAACTGTCCTTACTCTTGGAAACGTATAGAGAAATGTATTTATTTTTGATGATTTGATCAGGTTGATGATTTCTATACGTATCATATGGTTTTAGTACCATAAAATCCATTTATATACATCATTATGTATATTAAGAATTTTAGGTTTATCTAGATATAAATTTAAAGGATTTAAATGCGCGAATTGTTGTACAAGTGTTGTGTTTGTGTTTATTTGTTGGGATGATTGTAATTTATTAGCGTGAAAGGAAGGGGTTGCTTATATCACCGCCCCGAGGAATATCGAATTCTCTCGGGGAGTGAGTTGACCAGATATCTATATTTGTGGTAATCTATATGTACATACATATATATGTATTGCATGTTTTGTTTCTATTCTGTATTTGACAACCAGAGGTACAGACGAGAGGCTAGCATTTTAGGATATCTACGTAGTATACTTTTAAAGCAGCGAGTCGGAAACCAGATCGAGACGCCCAAATGGCTGCAGTTTAAAACAAAATACTCGCGAAAGAGGAGAAAAAGAAGGAAAACAACCAGAGGGCCGGCAATGACTTAGCTGTTTGTCAACCGATAAACTTCCCACTTTATAGAAGTTGATTGCCATAGCAAGATATTTGTCAAATACAAGGAAATATGAAAGTCAATGAGTGGAGATTAAACGAGATCGAGAGACGAATAAAGAAAAGGGGTGGTAGTAGTGAAAAGGATCAGAGAAAACTGGAAAGGAGAAGGGAAAGAGATAGAAAATACATACACAAGGAAATAGAGGATAAGAGACGAGGAAGAAGAGAAGTATGAGAGGGAGGGAGAGGGATTGAAAGACAAGAGAGTGAGAAATAAAAAAGTGAGAGGAAAGGAGAAAGAAGGACGCGCACGAGAAATAGAGAGAAAGAGAGAGAGAGAGTGAGAGAGAGAGAGTGAATGAGTGAGAGAGTGAGTGAGAGAGGACTGAATGACAGGTAGACAGTGAGAGGGTGAGGGCGAGTGATGATAGGAAAGAGGGGAATGAAAGAGACAACTGGGAGAATAAGACAATTTTAAAGTGTCGACGCAGAGAACATTAGTAATACAATTGTGATTAAATAATGTAACAAATATAATTATAGAAAAACGAATAAGTGGGCGAAACTGAAAAAAAGTAAAGGAAGACGGGTAGGGTAGGTGGAAAGAAACGGAGTGACAGGGTAAGAAAGAGCATTGGAGAAAGTAACCATAAAGTAGTGCTTGAAAGTAGAATGATAGTTGACTAGTGATAGTGAGAAAATTATTAAATGACTCATACGCAGAACAAGGAAAGGAAACGTTAAGAAATTTTAATTTGCTGTATGTTTATATTCGAGAATCGGAGATCAAAGATGATTAGATATAGAAGAAAGCTTGTGAGGGAAATGTGTAGTCATGTAAAGTACCCGTATATAAATAGTTGGCCGAAGGATGGTTATGATTCAGGGGGAAATGTTAACAACCCTGACTGGTTTAATGCGGTCGATAAAGACGGTGTCATTATTGATGCTCGCCAGAGGAAATTCAGAAAATTTTAATTAAAAACCACTTGTTTCCAATAGGGCGATTTAATACTGACTTAGTCACGAAAAGTAAAGACCGCTTTTGCGACATGACTCACCAAGAACGTTGCATTCTCTGTCTCACGGCTTGGGGCGACGGATCAACAAACTCGGCATAATCGGCATGTTTCCGGCGTCAGAAACGAAAATGAAAAAAAGCATTTCAAAACTTTTTGAAGGACACAACTATGTTTTACATTGGATCAACGGAGTTCAACAAGTCGACAAGTCAAGAACATTTTCTAAAATTTTGCAAGATTTTTCGAAATCAAAATCCTCTGAACATTAAATCTGGTTAAGTGCTTCGTTCCCGCTTCATGACATGAATGTTTCAACTCTGAGCTGCGGCCTGCCCTCTCGGAGTAGTCATGCCGCCTTTTATTAATTAACAGGAAGTCCAATCAAGGGATGAAACCCTTCCCATCATCTGCATACCGCCCCTTTGGGATGTCCTCTCCCCCCGTTCCAGCGTCCTCCACGCTGCCTGTTCCATACTGACCAACCCCAGGGGGAAAAAAAGAAAAAGGGAATTAATTAAAACGTATTCTTAATTGTGGAGTGTGTAATTGTTATATCTCCCTCGAGGGACGCCCCTCCCCTTTCACTACCCACTTATTTTCTGGATAGTATGAATTTTTCAAAGCTTCAAAGTGGATCGGCCGAATACACTGTTTGTTGATGAAAGTGTGAATGCGTACTATTTTAATTACATAAAACGTCGTTAAATGCGGTATTCGACCGATGTAGAACATATTAAATTCTTCCATGGCATTTTTGACAATGGGTGTGGGGTTGAGAACGTAACCATAAAATAAATGTCAAACATACTATGTAATTATTCTTTCTATGTAAGATCTTGGTTGAGATAAAAACATCAGTGTCACAAGCGGGATTTGAACCCACGACCTTCGGCTAAATACTCCGCTACTCTACCACTTGAGTGGAGTATTTAGCGGAAGGTCGTGGGTTCGAATGTCGCTCGTGACACTGACTTTTTTATCTCAACCAAGACCTTACATAGAAAGAATTAACTTGGTCAATTGACCACTAAAAACGTAATGGATTAATACACTATGTAATATTTTTAATAACTTATACTACTTAAAATAATGATTATTTTAATCAGAAAAGTTAGACTTAATATCCGGTCGGAGAGTTGTGGAGCAGATTGCAAATTTGTACGAATTATGTCGGATCAGTCTCTTTCAATTTACACCCATCACTCCTTTTTCGCTTTCCGTCGTTTCCATTCATCAATCTAGGCAAATGTTTATTGCACTTACTTATTTCGACTACTTTCTACCTTCTTCTTATATTCGTTCTTTCTCTATCTTCTATCTTCTTCTTATATTATTATTCTTATATATACTCTTCCTCTCTCTCTCTCTCTATATATATTTTTTTTTCCTAGTTATCTATACATCTCTCTCCCTCCTCTCCCTCTCCCTTTCCCTTTCCCTTTCCCTTTCCCTCTCCCTCTCCCTCTCTTTTCTATCTTTCTCTGCTCTTTCTTTCTCTATATATATATATGTCTGCTTACCTATCTAAACATCTCTCTATGTTTCTCTCGTTCACTGTCTCTCTCACTTTTCTCTTTGTTCCTCTCACTCATTTTCATTGTGTACTGTATTCTCATGAACACTCCCACTTACTCCTATTCAAGGCTAAATGTTTAAATATGTTTCTTGGTAATGTTCGTAACTTCGTCAATTTGGGCGTTACATTATGGGCGTATGGGGACGAATGTGAGAGGGGAAGAGTGATGTAGAGAGTGTACGTGATATAATTTTCATATCTCTTACATGAAATATAAACTGTTTTTGAAAGAAATTATCGTTAAGATTCCAGTATTATTATTAAACGGGGACTCGTCGCTCGATCGGAAAAAAATCGTTTGAATATACCAAATTTAATTGAAATTGGTTGATTAAAGAAATATCTAATAGAAGTCGATTCTCTTTATATACGAGATATTTAGATTTTTGCTTACTTTATGTTTTGGTTGTTTTGAAGATATGACCGATTCGATTAAAACCAAGTTGATGACGTTCAGGTGGCAAGTCTTGGGTTTTCTTCGTGGTTTCTGCCCGACGGCAACTAGTCTTTGGAATGTTGAGGTCAATTTTTGTGATTCATGGTTAAACGAGGAGTGTCGCCTTACACAGATTACCTTTTCTTTAATTTTGCTCACGTACGAGTTTTTAAACGTCGCTGGTTTGTTTAAAATAAACCGGAGTTGGCTATGCATCATATTAAAATTGATACTTTTTTAAATAAATAAAACAGTTTCTTACATATACAGTTTGCTTGTTTTGTAAATATATTATAAATCTATCTAATATCTAATCTTTACAATATTTGTTTCAGGTAGGACGCAACGGTCAATATTCAACTACATTGTATTTGTAAGTATACATGCATATACATTGTAATTTTTTTGGCCGGTTTTGGAATTCTGAGAGAATATGTTAATAGTGTCAGATCTTTAAAATAATAGTCGATAAATTAGACCTCTCCATCTTACCAACTACTAATTTAAATACGTACAATTAATTAATTTCATTTTTGTTATAATCATATCGACCTTTTTTTTGTGTGTGTATATAAAGAAGGAATATTTTAAAATTTCGAATTACAATATTTCGAAAACTACTTTCCAAAGAGGTTATTTTTTAACTTGTTCCAAATTTTCTAGTGGCAAATGATTAGACTTGTGCAACAACTTAATTAGGATAAATATTTATACATATGAGATTAAGATAAAATAGAATCTTTAAAAAAATATAAAATACCTTACATTATGCTACTACAATATTATATTTTATTTAATGCTCTTTCTGAAGAAAGATCACGACAAGATATTTCCAAAGAGGCTATTTTTAACTTGTTCAAAATTTTCTAGTTAATGGTAAAGGATTATTCTTGTGCCACAACTTAATTAGGTTATTGATACATACATGATTAAGAGAAAACAGAATCTTTTAATTAAATATAAAATATTTTACGTTATGCTACCACAACCCTATATTTCATTTAATGCTCTTTCTGAAAGCGGAAAAACCGGTGGTTGCCCATGTCGGTGGAAAAATAGAAAAATTGGTAGAAAAATGTTCAGTAGTATTCATAATTAGATGGAAAATGGACATAACATTATTAATATTATTTTATTTAAAATAATTTTAAAATGTCCACAAATAAAGAAACCTAGACATAAAAATTTAAAATTTCAATATAAATGTTTTCTTCGTGTTTAAGAATGAGTAAAGAAAATATTATATCATGTACTTAAACAAAATTTATACGAGGATTGTAGAAAAAGTTCTTATTACATATTTTATAGACTAAACTAGAAAGAAAACCAAGCCCCTAGTTATATCTGTTCTCTTGACACAAACTTATAGCTATTACATGTCTTTCTAATAAATTTTAAGATTAAGGAAACCGAGGTGGTAGTTATTCATAGTTCTTTTGTTTTGTGACATAACAGTGCCTGTTGCATTTAAAAATTCACGAGCTAATAAGCTCTATTACTACTTGATCCATCTATTATTATTCATCAATCCTTGTTAGGGCATGTCTTGGTGTTAATTAGTTATGTCTATTGTTAAATATTGCGTATAAAAATGATATGATTAAAAACTAAAATGGGGTGTTGAGGTGGGAAGTTGGTGTCCGAGTGGATCGAAGTCATGATAGCCCAAGTGGTAGAGCAGCGGCGTATTTAGCCGAAGGTCGTGGGTTCGAATCCCACTCGTGACACTGACTTTTTTATCTCAACCAATACTTTACATAAAGATTAATTAATTGAAAACAGTTATTTGATCAATCGGGCTAGGAACTCTAATGGATTTGAATTTAGAAGACGTGTACCCCTTATATAATCTTTGAACTTTTGAAATAGCTAACTAGCTAGCCCTGTTAGTATAATCGACAATCCTGTTAGATTTGTGACACTTTTGTAATTGGTCAGCTTTATTTCACATATTTAATGTAGGAAATCCATCTTTTATACCGCGAATGGCTCACGTGGCGTGGAAGCGTACGGTGTTAAACATTTAAGTACCTACTTGAAACAGTTGTTAATTATTTAGAAAAGCTTTCTCGAAAAGGGGATTCCAATAGTGGAGATAGCTCAGTTATGTTTAGAATCGTTGGTTATCACAGAATGCGACTGAGGCCGAGTTTGAGGAAAGGCAGGCCCCGCAGGGATCGTAAATGTGCTCGTTTACGTATGAGCGAATCAAGGAATGCCTCGGATTCTATGCTTCTTGAGGCATGTCAAACATTTAGACAAACGCGGGGCCCCGAATTCAAACGGGAGAGAGGTACCTGGCCGTGTACCTCGACTTAAACCCCTTCAAGTATTTCATTAACGTGGAGGAATGTATCGAATGTGAAACATCGATCCTCGCAGTTTCTCGTCCGAGAGGCGAAACTAATAAAAGTTATCAGGGGATTAATGGAAACCTTCCGGCACGTCCAATTTGCCTGGGCCAACTTTTTGACAGCTTTCATTACCCCTCGGACCCACCCCGCTCGGCCCGCGAGCCCCCTTTTCGTCCTTAATCAACAATTAACTAGAACCGTCCACAATTATCGGGGGCAATGCTATATTCGTATAATTAAAGCGATAAAACGATTCGCATTTACATCTGCAATCCGACACGTTCTCTGTTAAATCAGGGCTTAATTTGTTTGCATTTTGTTAGATGAGCTCATCTAACTCAATGATGTTCAAAGATACAAAATGTAATCCATACTATGTACGACACATATAGTTTTTCAATTTGTACTAATTTAACATATATTTCATTATTGGTACACAGTTTGATTGATAATGGTTGTAAACACTAGGCTATTTCCTTTGTGATATACTGAAAACCGGTTATATCTAATATCTAAAATTTATATGTCAAATTATATTATTGTTCTTAAATGTTAACGAAATAAATCTTTTATTTAAATGGCGGCACCGAAATATTTAATTTATATTGTTCAATAGTAACAATAATTAATTAAGGTTTTTAGTTGAGATAAAAAAGTCAATGTCACGAGCGGGATTTGAACCCACAACCTTCGGCTAGAAACGCCGCTACTCTACCACCTGAGCTATCGTGACTTCGATCCACTCGGACACCAACGGTTGAGATAAGAAGTTGGTGTCCGAGTGGATAGAAGTCATGATAGCACAGGTGGTAGAGAAGTGGCTTATCTAGCCGAAGATCGTGGGTTCGAATCCCGCTCGTGACATTGACTTTTTTATCTCAACTAAAAAATCTTAATTAATTGAAAGATATTAATTGGTCAAGCGGACCACGAAAACTAGTGAATTGAGTAACAATAATTTAAATTATACAGAAATCGTGAGATGCGGTCTGGTGTGATGTAGGTTTCAGAAAAACATCTTCTTTATTCTCTCAACACGACACGCAAGAATGGCACAATTACACAGAAGACAAACACTTTGAGCCCTGAAGATGATCTCAATAAAGATCGAAACGTTGGCACGATAAAGAAAATGTTTTTTTTTTTTTAAACCTACATCACACCATACCGCATCTCACGATTTCTGAATAATTATCGACTAACGTTCACTAATCACGACAAATAATTTAAATAATGCATTATTACTAAAAGGAAATTTTGGAGGCGTGTGACATCTGTAGGAAGAGTAACATAGATGGAATAAAGGTTTCTAGAAAATAAAAACTCTCAAATAGCTTAATTGCCGATAAAGCCGCATTAATGAAGAATAAAATAGCTGAATCAGCTTATATTACAAAGAAAGTGGTAACATTAAAGGTGATTTCTTTTTGGATAAGAAACAGTTTATATAAAGAGAAAGGAGGTAAAGAGTTCCAAGTAGTTAGATGACTTATGAACTAATATTTCTAACCAGAAATTAGAGAATAATAACAGGCAAAGCTGCAAGATATAGTTAGTAGGTGACAACTGCTGGGAGAAAGAGTAGAGGGTATGACACCTGTTTGGAGAAGGAGCTGGGTAGATAAAAACAAGGAGCAAAGGGGAGACAAATGTCACTGCTATAGAAAGGGTCCCAAACTGATAAATGACTTATGAGCTAATATTTTTAAAGGGACCTTAATAAATAATAATAATAGAAGAAGAAGCCAAAGTTAGAAATTAACGTTAGTCCTTATACGACATGTGACACCTGTTTGGACAAGGAGCTGGGTAGATGAAAAGAAAAATCCCTCCAATTTAAAGAGTCCTATATTGGATGACCTATGTGCTAATACTTTTAAAATGTAATTGTGAATAGTAATAATAACAAAAGAAGTCAGAGTTACTAATGCCGGGCTTTGAATATGATCAGTTTAGATGGAATAAGGCCTTACTACAATAAAAATCCTAAAAGCTTCATATAAGCTAGTATCCTCTTAAGCGCATAATTGAATAATTTTGCAGTATAATAGAAGTTTATGTTACAAATTAGGGTCATTGGTCCCATGAAAGTGACGTCAGTTTGGTTAAGGAGTTGCATAGATGGATTAAAAATTCTCTACTTTGTAAAGACTATCGAAATACAACAATTCATATAAGCTAATACCTCTAAAGTGGCATTAGCGAATCATAAAATAACGGAAGAAGTCAGGATTTAGGTAAGCATTAGGGTGTGTCTCCCAATTTCCCTAAAGCCACTAGATTAAGGATTATCTCAGAGGGAGGGTAACTATCCCTCCCGCCTATTCCGTTTCATCTCCCTGCCGACGACCACTTTGAGGCAAATTTAATAACACAATCAGGCAATAAAGTGCTCTGTACTGACAAATGTCGGAGTGAAAAGGAGAAGGATGGGGGGGTCGTTGTCCACTTTTCCCTATGGCATGACATATTGCACACGCACACATATTGTAGTACTTACCCCTACCCGCCCCCGGTTTCTCACAACTCTCCCTCGTATCCTTTTTATTACTTGCCACCGATATTACCCCGTCTTCCGTCAGTTCCCTCGCCCCCCATCCGGCCAACTTCGGCCAATTTCAATTCCATGCACCCTTCCCCAGTCCGATCGCCCCTCCGCCTTTTTTCGGCCTTTTATACTTGTCCTTAATATTTCTAAAGTATTATGGAAATAACTCGACCCACTTATTCCTTTTATAAGGCGTAATTGGGGAATTTTTGTATACATTGAGTTTTTATCGTTATTACCCTCCTTTTCACGAAAAAGGGCCTTTTTTACAATTTGGTAAAAAATAAACGTTATATATTTTATTGTACAAAAATGAAACTAAAGAATGATAGTTTTCCTTATGCCTCTGAACTATCCGATTAAATTTAATGTAGCTTAACTGGCCATTGATGTCTGTCTGGAAGAAAACCAGACGAATGTTAATGTGTTGGGTGGCACAATCTGAGGCACAAACTACATATTTGTTCATTT